TTTATGTGTAACCATAGCTGAATTGTTTGCCAAAAAACTCAAGAAAAGAATTAAACCACAACTGAACGAAACAATATAAAAATTTTGATGAAATGTCACTCGTCACTCGTCTTCTATCATAAAGTTAAAGTTAGCTTGATGGACTTTTCGTTAGAACATACCTATATTAGTGATAATTTTAAAGTGAAGTTATTATCTAATAAAAGACGGTATGCATGAAGTGTCAACCGAATGACTTTTAAAATTACGTGTGAAATGTAAGCATGTTCATGCTGATTTGTCATTAAAAACTTCCATCATAAGACAGTTATGACAATTAAACCCATACCATATCGTCTTATTAAAAATTACGTTTAAATGAGTGCTCGAAATTTTTTACATATAGCTCCTCCACTCCCTTAAACACATCTCTGGCTGCGCCACTGAATTTAACGTAATTGAAATACAATCAATAGATATTTCTCATTAAAAGAAACACTCTGTACATAATAATTGTCTAGTTGAGAACTGCTGTACAAATGGAATTTTTGGTAGTTCAGTCGTCTTTCTGATTTTTTCAACTTTAAAGAGGTCGTTTGCAACGAAGCATAGCGTTCAGCAGGTGCAATCGCTTTGGATACACCTGTCTCCACCGCATGTATAATAAAATGCTAGATGGCGGTTGCAGGAATCACTCTTGAATGAATTTTTTCGAATGTGTGAATGTCATAGATGTCACATCGTGACGTTTACATAACATTGTCTTGTTTGATCCTTCTTATTTACCCGAAAAGAGGGTTTGCTGTCTGCAACCGGCCGTTCGCCGTCACCATCAGACCGGCAAGAGGCTCCATACAAATCTGTGGCGGTGTTCTCCTTCACGCACGATGGGCCCTAACGGCCGCTCATTGTCTTTACGACATTGACAGACCGTCGCAGATCGCAGTGGTGGCAAAACTAAAGAAATACAAGAAAATCGTCGTCGAGAAATTCTTTATTTCTGGTTTGTTCGACCCCAAGACTTTAGAAAATGATTATGGTTTGTTGTTTGTATGGACGGATTTTCCCAAACTAAATTTTGCCGTGCTTTGTAGTAAGGCACTATTTTTACATCTTATAAATAAGGAGCAAACGAATCTACAAGTTGTAACGTGGGAAGAAAATTCACTTTTTGTCAAAAAAAACAGAATGATGGTAGAGAAGTGTCTTAAAGTCGATATTATGGGATTTAAAGTTTGTAAAGCTTTTTACCCTAATTCCTTAATTCCCAAAGTTATGTTTTGTACTACGAGTGCCATAAATGGTCACGCACCCTGTAGAGGTGATTCAGGAAGTCCGATTTTTTACGGAAGAGTTGTGTTAGGATCAGTGTCGTTTGGGGATGGTTGCAGGAGGTTACATAGACCTTCGGTCTACAGCAGAATTGACAACGGACTTGGTTTTGTGAAAAGTGTTGTAGGAAAACTAGGTTATAATTTGAGCGAAACTACACTGCCAAAGGGGCAATATACTGTGTACTACATTTCAGCAGGAAAAATTCCTGCAAGAAAAACTCTCTTGATAATTCTTTTGTTAAGTTTAATGTTATTAAAGTAAATTAAAATTGCAATTTTTATTTTTATTATAGAAACACAACTCGTGGACGTGAGAAAAATTTCCTCGTAATTAATACACTAGTTTAGATAACGCCTGCTCCTGCATTGTAAAATACCCAACGCGTCAATATTTACATTGTGTTTTTTTTTAATTAGTCCATTAGCACGCCATTTTCTTCTTAGATTTGCACGGATATGGCAACATCCTGTGCATTATCGGAAGTATCCAACAACATGGTTGAACTCAAACTTTATCAAACTCCAAGTATTTGGGGCCCAAGGATGCTTGGACACTTGAGTACTTTCGAAACTAAGCAAATTACTTGATTAGTTTGATCAAAATAATAATATTTTCCCGGTTTCAAGTCACCGCTTACGTTCAGGGCCGAGGACGGGTCTTCACGTAAATCACCGGAAATCTCAATTTTATACACCGTAATCATTAGAGGGAAGCAACAAATGTAAATCTTTTATTCAAAATCCACAAGACGGACGTAATTCTCTAATTATGGCGTCGTATTCGGTTTTCAGATGAGATTTTCCGACTTTCAAACTCAATTACGTAAATTCAGATGAAAATTTTTGAATAAATAATTTATTTTAAACTTGAGATTTTTTTAGTAAATTACTTTTAATTAATAACAGTGTCGGCTCAATTTAAAATTAAATATTGGCAGTGCCGCTGCTGCCGGCAACGGTGTCCAAAAAAAAAAATAAAGGATGGCCAGCCCGCGCATTGAAATATCAAAAATTAAGCTGGAAACAGGTTTTTTTAATGAAGAATTAAATAGTCCTACCTTATCTTATTAACGTCTAGATGTTTTAACATCGCTCTTGTTAAGAAATTGGAGCGACTGTAGTTCAATATGCTAATTATCCACAATGACTGAATATGACCCTAATTTTTAAAGCTTACCATTAGAGTACGCTTTTGATTAAGAACAATTCAACAATCTTGTGGGGTTGTATGTACGTTAAGTATTTGTCAAGCAAAACCACTGTTTCAAATTATTAACAAAAATATTTTCAAATCTGTTGCCATCATACTCAGTCTTTATGCATCATTTCGTATTTTGACAAAATACCGTCATCCTACCTTAAACTTTCTTTTTTAATACAAAAAAAAATGTTTTCACTGATAAACTACTCCATTTTGTACTACAAAACTTAGAGCAATAGGTATGTACACATAAGGTAAGTTTAATAGGTAGAAATTTTAGGAGATGAGCAGCGGTGAGAAGAAGCAAAAATGATTTAATTTACATTTTGTGAATGTTTATACTAATTATATTAGCAAAAACTATACCTACTTAAATTATGAAATATAGAGTTTTATCGCTGATAATCTCTGAGAAATTATTTCTTTAAAACCTTTTATTGACATTGTCAAAAAAAAGTCTTTTAAACTACATCTAGAACAATTTAAAAAAAAAGGAAAATTAGCGGCAAAACCTAAAAAGTCTTCGCCGGAAGTTGGTAGGCGTACCGTTGCCGGTAGCGGAGACACTGCCTTAAATACCACATCCCATGAATAGAGTTTTAAATGATTAGTTTGAATTCTTATTTTGTCATATTATATCAAATTGCAAATTAGTTTCTTATGCTTCTTAAATTCTTATGTTTTAGTTACAACTTTATTTGTTGAAAACTTATTTATTTTTTATAAAATATCGTGATTTGCAGTTTTATCAATTACTTAATTAGGTTTCTCGTTTGTAATAATTACAAATAATAGATACTTATCAAATGTTTTTTTTCTGAAATTTATTTGTTCCTTATCAATCACCACTACTGACTACGGGTATAATAAAAATACTGCACAAGGTGAGTTAGAGGTTTGTTTTTTCAACTGGAAATTATTTAAATTAAAAATACATTAAAAATTGTTAAAAAAATCCCTCTTAGTGATTCACTCTGTATATCACTGAAATTTTCGCACATGTGTAATAATGGGACTATTTTTAACTCAACAGATTGCATCCAATAAATTGAAATTAAAGATTTTCTCATGAGATTGTCTAATTTTTTAAACGAGAAGTGCACCGATTAAACACAATTGTTATTACATAATACGTTTAATTTATTGATACTAAGCTCACAACTGATGCTTTAATGTCTTCTTTTTCTCAGGTGGTGTTAACTGGATGTAGACAATTACTCAGATTAAAAATTAAAAAATTGATTTTGGATCTTTTCCCATGAGATCTCCTCGTTTTATAAACGGCTTAACTTGACTCAATGATTTCTGTACAAAAAGGATGCCGGTCAGTGGCATTACGAGCACAATAAAACTCCCGGTGTAATATTGGCGAAGGGTTCGTTCTCACGACACAATATTCTCATACCTTTTCTACCTGTAGCTCTCATTTTTTCTTAAAAAAAACGAGAAATTTTCACCCAATTTAAACTAAAACAGATTCCACGCCCATCTTTGAATGTCAATGAATTTTTTCAACTTTCGAATCGATAATAATTATTGTCACACGCAAACTTCATTCAGAAGATGTGGACATGGCAAAGATGAATTAGTCTGACGGGATCGCGATAATTTCCCACGGGAACCTTCTCTGGATAGGAAGTTGATGTTTTTGCAGTGTCGAATTGTGACCAGTTTTACTTATAATTAAACAGTGGCGAGTTTCATCCCTTACCTGGAGTTATGCAATCCGGACAATAGAAAGGAATGTCTGGAATTTGGCAAAAGAAAGAAAAGGGCTTGTGGTTGGGTTTTTGCCGAAAATTTTTCCAAATAAAGCATTATTTTTATAGCATCTCTAGCACATGTTGTAATTATTTTCCCTCCCGTTTTTGTCCATCTGTCTTCGAGTCTTTCCCCCCCTCGAAAAGTGCCACGTGCCCAAACATCTGTTCCACCGGAACCTCTTTGTTACCCAACACGCCAGATGGTGGCCAAGAAAACGGCCCATTCAATGCAATACCACTTTGGACGCGAAAATCTCGCGAGAAAAATAAATCGCCGACTTTTTGGCGCCTTGAGGAATAACGCGAATTCATGAAAACCTTGAAACGCGGAGTTTCGAACCTGAGAATGAATAAAACGGATATGGGAGGATGGAAGGGGCCGTTGAGGCCGTTTACACCACAAATGCGTTCGACCTGACTGCCTCCGAGCCAAAAAAATTATCAAACACAGACACAATTTCTAGTAATTGGGGTAATTAGCAAAAAGAGTAAAGCGAGAGTGATTGAAAGACGACAAACTTATTTTTTGGAAAATTTAAAACGGGTTTTGCGAGGTATTTCTATCAATCAATTAAACAGGTTTGGTGACTCCCATCGGAAGTAAGGTTTTTGACCATGCAATTTTTTTTTTGTTTTTTGTGGACCCACCCAACTCATGGTCCAAACCGCGTTCCCCAGACCCATAGGTAGCGGTTGCCTGATTGGAAGGAAGAGGGTCTGCCCAAGGCACCGGCAGTCAACCAGACTACCATCGTACCACATGCACACAGTTCTAATACAAACACAGGATGTGCTCGGAACGTTTTCCATTTTTGTGATTGTGCGAGTTGTGATGGTGAATTTTTGACTGTTTTGACCATGGAATAGAAGCGAAAAAAGGTAAAGAATGTCGTTCACACGAACCTATTGTTATTCCAACCACAGTCTTGCTTGGCATTTAATGTAGCTTCTGGACTGCTAATTATCTATCGAGTTAACCGCAACAATATTTTGATTTTAACAAAGTCACTTTACATTAAAACAATTATGTAAGAAATGTATTTTAGACAGAATCATTATGTGATTAGTCATAGTCAATATACCTACTGAGCGTATCAAAGAATAAATAAATAAATGGTTACAAAGTAGGTAGTTCATTACCTTTGTTTACGTAGGTACTTAAAATTATTGCGCTTAAAAAAATTAAGAAAACTTTTAGTTTCTGATTGTAAAAGTCAAAATAATGGAGACAAAGAAAATCGTTATTCTTTATTAGTTTCTTTGGTTTTTCTGATTTATAAACAAAATAAACAAAAGTTTGCTAATTACTGGTATTTAAAACTTCTGAAAGTTTTGGTTTCTGGCTCTGCCTATCAGTGGCATACTGAGCAGGGTTCCGAGCCTTAAAGGGGCTCCTTTTCGTTGTCCAATTACAAGTTACGAATTTAAAAAAGTTCAAAATTATATTTTTTTTATTTGCTCTTAAAATTTAATTGTGATGACTAAAAAATGTTATGTCTGCTTGACCTTATAGGTATACAGAGTGCGCCAGAACTTGCGCTCCAGAGAAAAATGCTATCTAAGGTAAGATATCAGGAACATGGAAAAAATGTAAAAAAATATCTAGATATAAAAATTTCGAAGTTATGAGAATTTAAATTTTGTACTTTGACTCTATTTATTTCTGTTGGAAAAATATTTTTTTTTGCTACAGGTATTAGAAGAGGAAACAAGAAAGCTGTATCTTAAATTGTAACTTAGTTTAATGTTATATGTGGCTTTTATTGGCAAAATTTTTGTACCTTTACTAAATAATTATAAAAAAAAACTTATGCAAGATCATCAGTATCATTAAATGGACATAAAAAATGTAAAATGTCAAAAAATCAATGTCAAAATTGTTTGACAGAGTTTTTTAAACATCTTTTGTTTCTGGTAGCTTATCTTATTTTTTCTCTGGTAGCTTATCTTATTTTTTCTCTGGGGTGCGAGTTCTGACACAACCTGTAGAGGATGTTAGTCAAAGCAGAATTAAATTCTACTCCATCTAATGAAGAAAAATTTAAAGTGTTTCATTTAGAAAAATTGACTTATGTGTATTTGAATTTCCTCAAACGTAACGTTAAATGTTGAGGGTTTCAAATATTTTTTTTATGTCAAAACACAATTTCATAATAGTTAAAAATTGCAGAGTTATCGATTTTTTAATAGGAGAGTTAAATGATGAATAATTCGGGGAATTCAAAAACGCAATAAAAAACATAACTTTTTATTTAATAATAACAAAGTTGATATTTATTTCCGATATAACCGGACGTGCTACCATCATGAAAATATTTTCATTGCGTAGAACCTAACTGATTAGGGCTATAGGTACATAAACAGCATGTTTTAAAATGATTTTCATCTAGTTGCATATGGAATTTGTATGCAAAATAAAAAATGCCGCCTTAAAAATATTGAATCTAATTAACCTCAAATGTTAATTTATTTTATCCGCAAACGTCACAAAAAAGTGACCACTTTTATGACTAAATAACACAGGTAAAAGTTTTACTTTTCAGACATGGAGTAAAAACACTGTTTTTACGCCTAGGCGTTTTCACTTTTACTTGACACTTACTTTGACATTTACCACTGTTATCTCTTTCTTGTCTCTTTCGCTTTTTCAGCATTTTCTGGGGAGGTACAAGGTAGATTATCAGCATTCGACATTTTGCACTATAAACTACACCAGTTATGCACCAATTAAATCAATCAACACTTTCGAAATCTCAACACAAATTCCGAAACTGACGCGTGACGTTTGTTATGATTTTATTGCAAAGCGTCCTGATTATTGAGGTGATTTACTTGATTAGTGGTGTGTTGCTCTTTTCTCTCCAACTGAATCGTTTGCAGATAAAATAGTATATGTTATTTGGAGTAAAAGTGAGTTTATGTGGCTCAGCTGAATCCAAATGAACGTTCAGCTTCGCCACATAAACAATCACTTTTACTCCTAATAACATAATCTACTATTAATTGACAGCTATCACTATTGACAGAACTATCTGATTCAGAAAGAGTAGAGTAGCTAGATGAAAATCATTTTAAAATTCGCTGTACCAATTTTTAGATAAAAATCATTATCAGAGCTTCCAATACTGCTAAAGTGGGGTTTATCCTGAACATCCGGTATATTGAATGGGAATATTTATTAATTTATTTTTAAATTTTAGATTTTTACATTATTTTATTTATTAAGTTATTATTCTTATATATTTTTTTTTGAATAAAATAAAAATAATAATTTTAACACTACCATGGTGGGCGTAGGAAAAGGGCCCGTGCAGCCACGATGGAACACGGGCCCATTAAGAGCTCAGTACGCCACTGGCCTATTCTGGTATGTTTTACTGTTTTTAAGGAAATAGTTTACAAATGTGCAAACTGCTTTTTCTGCTTTTATTTGTATACCAATTTTAGATTATACAGAGTCTTTCGTTTTTATTGTTACAAACTTAAACAGGCGATAGAATATTCAATTTTAAGACAAAAGTTTCCTATGAACATGTATCAAAAAATGTTACCTACGAATTTAAAGATCAGTTGTCGAAACTTTTAATCATGGGTCTCTTAAATGGTGAAACAAATTTAATTTTTAATTTGTATTCTTTTTATGGACTGTATGACAAATTGTAAACTGATTTTACTCAAAAACGTTAAGTTTTATCGAAAAAAAGCAAGATACCTCTTTTTTGTGAAAAACTATGAATTTTGTGGCTGAAACTGGCAAAAACCAACCGCCAAAATAGTTAGGGTACTTTTTACCCTAAACCCCCCAGTTTATCAGGCCCCTGAGTAAAGATTTCGACATTTTATCTTTGAATTCATTTGGGTGTATAGGTTATCATTTGTACCAAATTTTGTAATTTTATCCACGATGGTTTCTGAAATATTGGAGAAAATCTATTAAAAAATGCACCCCTTTCAGGGGATGTGGCTCCTTTATATAAATTTTTTCGATATATGTTTATAGAAAAGTTTTATCTTAAAATTGAATATTCTATCACCTGCTTAAATTTGTAACAATAAAAATGGAACAGCCTGTATATTTAATTAATTTGTATGAAAACACAAATAACAAGAAACAAGACTCTGACCACCAGCGCGTTGTCTCTTGTTATAAATATCTGCCGTTAAAACAATGCCTAGAATTTATGAAAACGCTTAGTTGAAGGCTTAAATAGCTGCGAGCTTAAGAATCTCCTTGGAATTTTGCTGCAATGTCGCGAGCTTCCAACTTTTTAATGTGCATTAAAATAGGTAATTTTTTGTAACGACACGCCGAGACATGAGTGTATTTGTAAGACACACCTGCAAAGTCCCCTCAGGCATACCAATGATATTTTTTACTTTTGCAATATTAAAAATTGTAGTTTGTTGATAGATTTTCCATTGCAATTTCCTGACGAAATTCAATTTAAATCAGTTTACTTTCAGTAATCCCATCAATCGCATTTTCGTCGAAATTCATTGCGAGAGTAATAACAGACGAAAAAATTTAATTATTTTAAGAGTCTCGAAAAAACTGAAATTTTATTTCATTTTGCGTTCACATTTGCCCTTTTAGACTCATCTGATGCATAGTTATCAAGGGGTTAATATTGTTAGTAGTGTATTGTGTAATAATTTTCTAGTTGTTTGTCATTGTATTGTAGTTACATGCCTGCAAACACAAACGACATTAATATTTATTAGGTGAGAGAGCCTGCCAGTGGGGGTGATAAATTCATTGGAAGCGAAGAAGTTTGATACTTCATTGTAGCATAGTTTGAAATGGAATTGAACCAAGAGAGTCATACGATAAAATTAGAATCGCTTTAAAACGACAAAAAAATGAACAATGCAATTTCTTGGTGTAATCCCTCTTAATCCTCTCATCACTCCACCAAGATTATAATCTCTTATTACCACCTATAAACAATGTCTGCGCTGCGCAATTTCCTATCAACGTCCTCATTACTCGACTAAAAATGTAAATGAAAAAATTTCATTTTAGCAAAAATGTCAACCATCGTTCTCCTGTTTGTCCTCGTGACAACCGCCCTCTGTGACGACCTCTTGGACGAATACGTGAGACACGTTGATGACGTGAATAAACCAAATAAACTGCACCAAAGACGCCCCCGACGCGACGTTGCGGATAAATGGACCCATTCCGAGGTGTTGGATAATGTCGGTGATGTGGTTTTGAGGTGGCAACCGCGACACCGGGAGATCCTCTTCAGAGTGGAGGCGAGGACAAAGGGATACGTTGCGATTGGTTTTAGTCCTGATGGAGGCAAGGAGAATGCGGATATCGTCATGGGATGGGTCGACGACAGGACTCTCCGGGCTTATCTCCTGGTAAGTTTAGTCGGAATTTGCAGAATGGGGAGAAAGTGCAAGTGCCACAATTACGGGAATTATTAAGAAAGGTCGACTTTTATTAAGTTTATTAAACTTATCCGGGAAGATCGCACGACATTTTATTGGAAATTACGTGGGAATTCTATTCACGTTGATCTGGGAAAATCGCGCTTTTCTCAGATTGCTGGCATGCCTGCGAGAGCTTTTAATATTTAATAATTAAGTGGTTATTGATTACGTAACACCTTTTTCTTCTATTAGCTCGTTACGAGCGTAATTGTTGTGTTAAACTTTTCGCAATTTAATTATTACACCAAGTTGCATTTAACTCCTGTTAAAGTTCTTTGTTCTAATTGAAAAATTGTGTAAACTCTTCCGACCGGAATTCACTTTATGGAAATTTCAACGAATAAATTATTAAATTTTTTATCACAGTGTATTTAATATAAATCACTTGGAAGACGTCTAATTGCGAGGAATTTCAGGAATGTCGCTAGTAACAGGAGAATTACAAGCATTTATTGCATTTTATGCCATAATAACAGATAATTCAAATAGAAATTTATGAATTATGTCTTCCACTCAGTGTAACAACTACATTTTACTATTTCGTTATCTTTAAAATAAAACAGACCACTATTTCAGTGGCGTAGCCAGAGATAGAGTTTAGGGGGGGTTTACCTATGTAAAAAAATGAGCAATTATTCAAACTTTATTTCAGAGAATAAGAAATAAGAAAAGTTGTTTAGAATCAACATGTAGGCCCCTATACCAAATTTTGAAATCGTCGGGCAACTAAGATTTTTTATTTTTTAGTAACAACAGTTAAGAAGTTATTAAAAAGTTGATTGAAGTTAAAATCTTAGGTCCCTATAATTTCATTTCAGCCAACTTTGATCGCTCACATTTTCTTTTATGTTTATTTCCCAAATTAAAGAATTTTATTAGTAATAAAGACCACTATGGAAAAACAAAATTGTATTCATGACAATATTAATCAGTGCAACGACTTATTAGTCAAGCACTACCTACTTTATCAAATTTTAAAATTGTTTTTTAAATAATCAGTGTATTTTTTAAATTTGGCGTTAAAGCTTACTATGAAAGTTTGATTCTGAACGAACCATCGAATTGAAAGTTATTAATATGACATTTAACACCTCACTGGCATATTAAAAATTGTGGTCAACATTAACACTTTTGCCGAAATTAACCTTAGTAATGAAAAGTTTTTATTTATTTATCTTTTATATTTATTTGAATTACTTATTAGTAATAATAATAATTAATAAAAAAAAAATATTGCTTAATGTTTCTTACAAAACTTACCTTTTCTTTATATTTCTTTTAACTTACTTTTTGTTTACACATACACTATTAACTTATTGAAATTTTAATAATAAATTGTTGTTAATTAAACTTTTATTGTTTCAACTAATTTCCAATAATAATTGATAATAATGGATACTTTGAAAGAAAACAAGTTTATAATTGAAGTCTATTTTCGAAGTGGACGCTTAGTAAACGGCGATTTTTTAATTTTGAGTTAAAACAATTTTCGTAAAGGGGCATTTTTTATTTTACATAGGTGGCTAGATGAAAATCATTTATAACCACTTTGTACATACTACACTACCACGGCGTCAACAGTCTTAATGTTTTCATTCAATATATATATTAAATACAGGGTGTCCGGAAAGTCACACACCTTCGTGACACTGTATCATCGGGGCCTCGACAACAAGAAAAATGTTAAAAAAATCTCTCCATAAAAATTTCGAAGTTATGAGAGTTTAAATTTTGAACTTTAGCTCCATTTATTTCTGTTGTTTTTTAAATAAGCTTTTTTTGCAACAAACTATTACAAGAGGAAACAAGGAAGCTGTATCCTAAACTGTAACTCTGTTTAATGTTATTTGTGGCTTCTATTGGCAAAATTTTTGTACCTTTAGTAAATAATTATAAAGAAAACATATACAAAATCATCCGTGTCATTAAATAGACATAAAAAAATTTCAAATGTCAAATTTTTTTGACAGATAGAATTTTTTAAACATTTTTTTAGTACTCTGGGGGACTACCCAATTACTCCCTTTCAAGGAGGTGTGCGTTTTCCGGACACCCTGTAGTTATCGAGAAAATTGCTGATAAAGTCAAAAATATCCAAAATATTATTTTTCTATTTCGGTGTTAGAATAGGTCATTTGCGTGCTGGAATAAGACGTTCGCGGTAATTTAATTTTAGTGACGGACTTTCTTCACAATTCATTTTCAAATGTGAAAATAAGAATAATTTTAATTTTTTACAGCCGCCTAAAATTATTCCACACATAAATGTCGCCAACCGTCGCAGAATTCTCTACAATAAAAAATTAATTTTCGGTTTTTAAATTATAAAATGATATAAAGCGGCGAAATAGAAAAAATAGTATAAAGCACTTGTTGCAGAAGGTTCTACAAGCTTCGCGGCTCGTTTCGGAATTTCAAATTTGTGCTTGAATAGATAAGATACCTTCTGCAACTTGTACTTTAATATACTATTCTAAACGATCAAGAATTTTGCAGTTTTCTCGACCCCCATCGATTTCTTCGAACATTTTACATATGTAGTCATTCATAAAAACATTATAACGTTTGAGGTACAGTTTTGCCGCAATTTACAAAATAAAAAAATAGTAAAAATTTGTGAATCTTCTGAAGTTGTGACAACATCGAAAATAATTATATACAAAATTTGAATGTTTCATTTGGTTGTTTCTAAAATTTAATTTTTGTTTTATTACCACTGCAAAATACTTTTTCCTGATTTTGTTCTGGGAGAGGGTTTTAACCCCCAAAACCCCTCCTCGCTGCACCACTGTACTATTTTGTTAAAGTTTATTTACTAGAATTCAAAATGCAAAACTAGAATCAGCACCAAACGTAAAATTCAATAAAAAATATCTTTCTTCTTAAATTAAATCATTTTCTATCTTTTAATTAAAATTTATTTATTTAAATAAACTCCGATTTAATTAGCGTGAACTAATTTTTGTTATGTCACTGATTTATGAATTTTTTAATGAAAAAGTAGCATTCTTCCAAGCGCTGTTTGTGAGACTTTTTTAAGAGGGAATCCATTTTCTTTGGATCAAATGACCCAAAAGACAAAAATTGCTCGCCTTTGGCAAGTAACCAAACGAACCTTTGGATTCTTCGCCTTGAATCGATCACACGTGCAAATAATCTTTGTACTCGTCCATATTTGCACAAGACAATCGTCGAGCGATTCCTCTGCCTTGCGATATCCATACTAATTGCTTCATATTTTCGGTGGCTCTGTGTTAAAACTCGTTCTAATTAATTCACGCCGTGAAAAAATTATTCAGGTGGCACCTGTCACTTAATTTTTCGGCCAAACAGATGTTTGGAATAATTATATTTGACTGAAATAACACACACAAGTGATAAATTCAACTTTGTATACATCGTGGTCAATGTAGTGGAAAATAATAAAACCGCACTTTTCTATAGTTGTTATTGAAATGTCCTTTTCGTTTATGAATTCACTTAGAGCGTCGGATGGGAGCAACCGCAAGATTATTTTAACGGCGTCTTGGTCTGATGGATGTTTCGAAATGTAGGTGGTAAAAGTTATTTTTACGGTGCGTTTTGAGCTGAGATTAAATGGAAGAATATCTTGCAGTAAAAATCTCTTTGACTGTTTTTGATGTTTCATTTAAAAATTTTACACCCACTGACATGTGGCTGTGAATCCAGAGAATAAATTAATTAAAGTGGAATGGAAGAAAAACAAAAAGAATTTTTTTAACGGACTTAACAAGATAAATATAAGACATTTCAATTAAACACTGAAAAATGAAATTGCTTGTCAATATTTTATGTGACCCCAAGAATTTATTACTACTTTGGACCTTTCTTTGAAAAATACGTCGCTTTTATGTAGTTCCATATATTTTATTAATATTTAAATAAAATTTCCTGTCGCCTTTGACTACCTTCCAGGGCCCCAACTTTGTTAAATTCAATAAAATAAAATAACTCAATTTACCTTTCTAAGAAGCGCTTTACATAATCGTGAAATTCCTATTTTTTCCACGTTTGATTAAAACTGTATCTACAGGATGATCGTGTCACGAATAACCAGTCCGTTGATGTGTTTATTATTTTGTTGAAATTGTGATTTGTGTCCCGGATATAGTAATTGCGTATTAACATACGAATTAGCATTAGTCGGAGGCGTCGATTTGGACAGGAAATCGTATTGTGAATTCATTATTTCTGACAGGAATCTCTCGTTAATGAGTCGAGCGACGAAATTTTGCTTTTTCTGCAATGTGACGATATTAACAATGTTGAGAATTCCGCTCGACGCAAACTTGAATATTCTAAACGCGTTTTAGTTTAGAACATTTAAATTCTTGGTCATGTGGCTCGTAAAATCATAAAAATCATGTAAATGAAGTAAAATTCTCCAAAAACGAAAACACCTGTTGTACTGAAACTAGATTTTGATCGCTTTTTCGGTTAGTAACGAATTTTTGTGTTGAAGTAAGTGTGATTTCTAGTTGCTGTATAAGAAAAACACAGGAAGTGTTTAGTAATAAGAGTCATACTTATTGACGAAAGCTCTTTAATAATATGACGTTTTAATTAATTACCTACGAAATTAACATTTAGCGGAGCTTTTCCGCTACTAATCACCCTTGTGGCAATAATAAATTTAATTAATTAATCAACTATGAAAAATAATTATTATGGTTTAAAGACTGTTAATTTGGAGGTGTTAAAATGTTTCTTTCGATGTATACAAAATTTCGCCAACTTTGCAAACTAATTTATTTCGTTATGGGGCAAAAAAACGTTCGCATGCAGTGTGTTAACGGTACAAAAATAAATAAAAAGATGTGGAGAGTATAAATCCGCTCATAAACTCATTAAAAGAATCGCCAATAAATACTTCATGGAAGTGTTTTAATCCTTTCCAAAGCGATTTTATTCTCAGGTTATACTATAAATAGAACTCGTAACAATTTTATCTGTTTCAGGATCATAATATTTGTTCTTAACTCAGTACTGTGCACGAAGGTATTTTAATTATTGCCGTAAAAATGCTATGTTCTGAAATTTTAACTATCTATTTCATGGCAATCAGTAAGTGAAGAATCTTGTTGAAAATTGGCATAATGAAACGAATCAAATTTTTATGTTTGTCGTAATTCGAATAAATCTGTGACGATTTAGTGGACCACACTGGCGGGAATGTCAACCGTTTTTTAATTAACGCATTTTTGGGTAAAAATATTTACTCCAAATTCTTCAAATTTAATTACCAATTAAACCCAAGTAACATTTTTTGATCCCGAATTTTCGCTTCATATTCCAGGCACTTTGCCTCAATTAAATTACTTAATAACTCGACTAACACTCGAGTTTCTCAGATAATCGAGTCTCTATTAACATGAAGATCACTCTACAACTTCCTGTCCCCAACATCCGGCAATTATTCAACGGAATTCCCAACGTTTTTTTCCAGGACTGCCATGGGGTGCCCGACAGCCAAGGAAGTGTTCCCATCAAAGATGAAATTGATAATTATACACTGATGAGTGGGAGCCAAAACGATACGCACACTGTCATCGAATTCAGGAGGGTTTTGGACACCTGTGACCCCCACGACTACGTCCTAACAGTGAGCGATTTTCTCAAAAAAATAAAAATAAAAATTACTTGATTTCTTTCTTTTGCAGGGAGACACGGTTGTTGTAATTTGGGCTTATCACAACACCGATCCCCAATTAGGGGCCGAAATGATCTACCACGGAGACAAAAGGGGCGCCCAAAGTCTCCATTTGCTGGGGCCTCCGCCGGTCCCCAAGGCCGCGGGGGGCAACATCAGGAACTGGGACGTAACGCTACAAAAAGTAAGTATTTATATTTCAATCAAAAAAATAATTGGATTATTTGGACAATTTTCAAGTTTTTATGTGGCCAATTAATCAGAATATCTAAATTTTAAAAATATTTTTGCTAAAAAACTAACAATTCTATTGATGATTTATTTTTTATGTTTATTTTACGAACGTAGTGAGGCAAATAATTCAGCTGAGCCACGTAAACTCATTTTTACTCCGAATAACATATATTATTTTATCCGCAAACGTATTCAAATAGAGAAAAAGAGGAATACTACAATTAGCAAGTAAAAGAACAAAATAATAAGGACGCTTTGCAAGTAATGAAATCATAACAATGCTTATAACAATCATCACTCGTCAGTATTGGGATTTGTGTTTATTAATTTAACTAGTGGATGACTAGTGTAGTCAGTAGTGCAAAATGTCGAATGCTCCAGAAATTGTTGAAGCAGCGAAAGTAAAAACGCTTGAGCGAAAATTCATACCTGAAAGGTACAATCAGCTTAGAAATGAATGTCCTTCTAATAAACCGCGCGGTTTATGAACTCGTAAACCACATTAATAAACCTTTTCCATTGTAAACCTCATTTCTTATTCAACAGTATATTTAGTTTAAAGTAAAGCTCACTTACCGATTTTACTTTCAATTGATTAAATAACAAATTATTTTAAAAAATTCACAACTTTATATTATTAAAAATTAAATTAAAAAATTTTT